TTTCCCTACTCACTTCACCGGGCATCAAAGGCAAGGGCTCTTTCTTGGTTTAGGACCACACTGGGTTAAGTCTTCAACTAATAATGAGGTATACAAAAGGGCTGTAAGGGATGGACTGGATCCTCATGTTGTCTGAGTTGGCCAAGCTCCGTTGAGTGGAGTCGCCTGGCTTCGCATCAGACACAGCCTTCACCTGGGGCTCTCCACTAAGGGTTACTACACTCTGACCACTAGCAAAATGGAAGTGGTCCCTCTGTGTCCAGACATGTAAAATAAACATTAGAAAATTATAAAAAACCTGAGCTAATAACGACTCTCTACCATTTCCTTTTAAAACTGCACTTTACAAAACTTGTAAAGTTAGCAAATGTCATCCAGTTTTCCACTGACTGCTGTGACAACAAATCTCTTCTCCCAGCTTCCTCCTTTATTACTCCAGGAATTATTTGCTGATTGCAGTAACATTTAAGGAAAAAATCATTGTGGTCCAAGCCTGTAGTAACTAAACAGAACTTCTTACATATTTCATATGATTCATATTTTCTCCTAAAAACACCATATTCATTGAAAGGTGCTTCTCAAAAACTCACCTCCCTGTGTAGCACAGAAATCGAGGTAGATTTTTGCGAAGTGCTCCACACTGTTTCTTCTGTCAGATGCCAAGAGACCGGTGAAGAGAAATACGAAGAGAAAACCAGGTGGGATGTTGTGATGTTTTCAGTGGGTCAGGCAGCAAAAAGCAAGTGATTCCTGTCCTGAAACGACATTTCTTAGGACCGAGAAAACCTGCTGTGACAACAGATCTTTGCTCCCAACCTTCTCCTTTATTACTCCAGTAATGATTTGTTGACTTTTACAACAACATTTAGGAAACAAATCATTATACTCCCAGCCTGTGGTACGTCACAGGGCTGTTTTTTTTTTTGTCCAGAGCAAACTCCAGAACATGGAGCATTATAAAACATAAATTAGAAAGAAACAACTGAACTGAAGAGTTCCCCCTGCTTCTGATTCAAAAGTGACTGCACCAAAGAACATTAGTTGTATTTTTCCCAAAACAGCTGCCTCGCCTCTATTTGTAGTATATAGCACTATAACGTAAAGATCAACCATGTCTTTCTTCCCTCCTGCATGATATTAATCACTCATTGCCAAGTTAAAAAAATATTAAATATTGCTTATTACTGAGAAAAACTTCATGAGTTGAGACCAAGGAGTGAGTGGCACCAGGAAAGGATGGTCCTGGCTATGACTTAGCTGGAGGATAAATCTTGAATTTTGTGATTTAGGTCTGGAGGGACAAAATGGTTTGCACAGGAGCCTTGGAGGGTCCTGTCTCCTGCAGGAGT